CTTCTGCAGCCCCATACCATCAGTGAACCACTTCCAAACTTAACTGTGCCCTTGACCTCTCTAGCAATTAGCCCTTCACTCTTCTTTTTCCACACATACTCTTGCCCATCTGACCCAGTCCTACATATTTAGGTCTCATCTGACCATATAACTCTCATCCAGCCCTCCACAGTCCAATTCTGGTGCTTGAGAGCAACAGCTAGCCTTCTCTTCTTGTGTCCACTAGAAAGCAAGGGCTTCTTTTTCTTGACCACACCCTTTACAGAGGCTTCCTTGAGGCTATTTCTAACAGTCTGTGGCAGACAGGAGTATCAATAAGAGAATTGATGAATTGAATGGCATGGACAGCTTTTTTGGCCTTGCCAGTAATGATTTGCTGAACAATAGCCCTTTTGTTGGTAGGGGTTGTTAAGTATGGGTTTACCCTCTGGTGACCAGGCTTCAATACCAGGTGACAGGGCTAAGTCTGGGTGACCAAAGTCAAGGCCAGGAGACAGGGGCCAAGTCCAGTTGGACCAGAGTTAGGACTGGACTTAAGGCCAGGAGCACAGGAACAAGGCCAGGAGCATGGGAAACTGACCAGTCTTGGAGTGCACACAAGGGGAAGCCAGTCTGGGGTTGGATCTACCTCCCTTGGTCTCAGCTTATGTGCTGTACCCTTATGCAAGCTGGGGAGAGGTCCAGGACAGGGGCTGGGGATAGCTTAAGGCTTGGCCTTAGCTATAGGGTAGACTCAAGGGGTAATATGGAGTTGAGGGTAATACTAAATTGATATTCTGACTGAGGTGCTATGAAGTATGCACAGGGGTTAAATACACAAGGCCAGTCTGGGGTAATGAACATAAAGCCAGACTTGTTAATAAGCTATTAGTGAGATGATTAGCAAGGTGAGGATAGCCACAGTGGCTGTGCTGAGGCTAATAGCCAAAGTCTGGGTGACTGGCATAACCAAAGTTGGACACAGGATTTGTACAGTAAGCAGAGTCAGACAGAAGGACCAGACTAAATGTAGTACAAACAAAGGAAAACAGACTGGAGTTATGTCCAGGTGACCCAGACATGGACCTGGGAGGGCTGGGGTGGAGCAGTGCAAGGCTGGGAGGCCAGAATGGACCAGAAATAGGGGTAAAATACCAGACTTGAGTTATTTAGGCCAGAGTTAGGTTTTTCAGGGCCAGAGTTAGGTGTTCTAGGCCAGAGTTGGGTTTTCTAGGCCAGACTAGGACCAGAGTTGACTGGAGTAAGGGGCTAGGGGTCCAGACTGGACCAGGATTGAGTCCAAGAGTCATGGATATGACAGAGGTAAGCTTTAATGGATGGCCACCACAAAGCCTAGTCCTCTCTGGCTGGAGTTTCTGAAGGACCTGGCATACTGTAGACTGCCCTAAGCCAGTTTGGGAAGCAATTTTCCTGGTGGAAAGATCAAGAGAGGAGAGAGATATGTTGCTCTTTCTTTGAGATGCAGAGATGGGTTTCAGAGTGATGGTGGGATTTATTTATAGTGTCTGACACTCAATTACATAAAGGTGACATAATAGAACCATTACCAAATGTATGTACTAATATTACAGTCACTGCAGAAACGAGATTTTAGCAGGGGGCATAACCAGATTCTCCAAATGTAGATAATCCGACCTTGATTTTTTTTTGTAAGATATAGCTATTAGTCTGAGTAAAGTCCGACTCAACGATTTTTGAGTAACATATCCAAACAATCCGACGTAGGCAAGATCCAAATATAGGCAATATACCAATAGCCTGACCTCTCGCATGTGCATTTCCCCACCGTGACTATGCTCGACTCCATCAGCCATAGTCCAACTATAATACCATCAGAAGAGTGGCTCTTGCCACCCTTGCACCCCTCAGAAAAAATAATGGACTTTGCGAAAATTTTCCTTGGTCTCCAAGTTCACCAGTTTGCCATGTACACCATGAACCAACCCAAGGTATGTCGTACTCAAGTCCTCCAGCCTATCTACTCACCTCCAAAAGTTCCATATCAATGCTAACCAGGTGGTTCCAACCTCACAAGCCGATGAAACCGAGTTTGTTGGTCCCCCGACAGTCATCAAACGTAGGCCACACATCCTTCGACTTCATGTCCCAACCAGCATCCAAAACGTTACGCTCTCTTTCGAGCCAAACTCCCAAGGCCCTGTGGTATGTGTGGCTAATTACCGTTCATGTGTCTTCCACTCACGGCCACACACCAGACCATAGAAATCTCCCTAACGACGATGTCACCAGAGCTTGGCAATGATACCTTTCATGCAACTCAAGCATGTGTTGTCAACTTCGGTGCTAACGTTGGTACTGGTGGGGTTAAGTTGGAGGTGGAAGTATGTTTTCGCGCAATCTTTCATTATTTGGAGGTCGAAAGACTTGTCAGGTATGGTTTTTAATTGGAGCTGTTCCCTCTGGCTCTATTGCATGTTGGGTGAGCGCTTGCAATTCTCATATTATTCATGCGCTACCAGATGATACCTTTTCATTATTAAAGACATGCTCGGTGACTTCTTTAATGAACATGTCATTCAGTTTGTCGTCTACGTTGCCAAGCCAGTTGGGGCACCAAAGATGTGTGCTGTCACTTGTTGATATGAAAGGTTTGTCGTTCTCGAGTGGTTTGATAGCAGCAAGGGCTGCGACGCGGTTTCTTTTCATCCCTTCACACTCGATTCCACACATGTGAGAGAAGAGCGGCTGGATAATAGACTGGTGCCCAGTGAGTGCGCACTCCGATACTGAATGATAGCGTAACATACCTTGAGAACAGAATGGTCATTTGAATTTGCTCTCGATGAAGTATGCTTCTGTTGATCCACACATTTCTCCTGCAGTTCTCTAAGCATTTGCTCAACAGTTTCAAGGCGTGAAACGAGAGATTCAGTTGCCTCCCTGATGCTGGTAAGCTGTTCTTCCATGCTGGTGTTGGCCTCGCTGAGGTGTTTGACATGAGCTGTGAGCTGTGCAACTGTAGCATGCAAGCTAAGCTGGTCTCCTTGGTAAGATCCAGTTCGAGAGCGGGATGCTGAATATAAAGTCTGATAGTCTTCCATTGGCATCTCACTACATCCTCTGCCATTCAACTGACTATGGGAAGGTCTTCCAGCATACAAGAAGGACATTTCATCACGACCGTTGACACCCCCATGGTAAGGAGTGAAGCCAAGATGTTGGCTTGGTTGGTTTCCTCGGTGTGGATAGGATACCTCGTCCTGCGATCCCTGCGAATCGATGGCACCAGTCAGCTCCTTCATATCAAAGGAGAACTCGGGTGACAAGAGCTTGGCAGATAGGGTGAGTTGATCAACTGACAACAACGATTAGTAGTGACTGACTGATGGTCCACCGTGGTCTCTTCGCTGAGCAGGGCCAGGGCCAAATGGATCATCTAGGCCTGGCGCAGAAGGGAGGCGAGTGCCCTGCGGGGTGTTTGAGGGCGCCATGTTCATCTGTGGTACGTGACGTCCATATGTGATGCTATTAATATTCTGGCTCAATGACTGGGATCCAGGTATCGCTCCACCACTCAGAGGTCTTTGGTGTTGAAGGTGCAAGGAGCTGGAGGGCATCATGTGTGTCTGGGTCTGTGGTATGTGATGACCATGATGAGTTCCCTGCTGGCTCATCAACTGGGACCCAGGCATCAGCGGTGGGGTGCCACCTGTGAGCTTCTGCGAATGCATCATATCCTGCCATTCACCAAGGAGGGGAGCAAGCAAACATGGGCGATTTTTTTGCATGGCTGGGGGCGCTGGGTAGGCATTTTGGAAGCACACATTGTACTAGGCACTCATCGAATATAATCTGATCTGGTTATCCTGAAAAACACGACTGAAGGTGGGAGGATCAATTGCATTTATACGATTTAACTCAGTGTACATAGCTCATAGTCACATTCGAATCTGATCTGATTATTGTCGCAAAGGTAAAAATCGTCATGGTGATAGGCATGCAAATCCGACCAGATTATGCTCCAAAACGAGAACACTTTGGCACTATATTCAGACATATTATTAGGAGTAGCTACCCTCGGGATATACAACAGTTATTGTCATTGACCCGACTATCTCCAGACCTGATTAAAAACCCGTTTCCGCAGTGAGTATGCCAGGGTCTAATATATGTAATTGAAACCTAAAGTCAAAAAACTGACCACATGAGTCATCATTTTGAAATGGCTGCCATTTGATCAAACCTTATCCAAAACCCTTGACCCCTGCACCAATAGAGAGCCAATGGTAAGGGCTTTGTTTCATACACTTATAGGTTAGGGCCTAGGTTAGGGGATATGGGGCAGTATTGACTTTAGTGAAAAATGTCCAAACATGCAGTCAGTTTTTGAGCCACTGTAACTCTGACGCAGTGTGACTGCAAGTTGGAGTTGGCAATAATATTGTTGCAATCAAGTTGCAATTGTGCCATGAGAGGAAGAAAAGTAAATTTATTCCATGTGCCAATCCATAAGCTGTACTGCTCTGGGATAGGAATATAGGAATGTAGAGCATCCATGACAACTAAAGGCCTATGGATATTTGAATAGTAACCTTTCGTGGAGTACCAAGTTGCAGCACAATTTCACATGACATGTCCATGAGGTGCACATAGGGCATTGTTAAGTGATCAATTAATGTGCCAAGTCTGAATTCTGGTACTTCCAAAGACCAAAATGCTGCTGGAAAAGTTCATCATCCTTCACACTGACTCTAAAATGGTACAAATACCATAGACGACATGTCAGCAAGAATTGTGTTACTGGACTTCCTTGCAATAAACACTTGGCCATTGCTCCGAAAGGAGAAGCCTTTTCTGGATGAGATTCCATAGCCTTATTGGGACCTGATAACAGGGCTGGAATAAGATAATAGCTAGGTGACCATGATTGACCTTGCCTTCAGCCATATTCTACTGGTTCGTATCGCCCGTACGGCATTAGTAATTGCATTCCATCAATTTGTTATCTATACCTGACAGATGCAGCATCATAGTGTCATAGGAGGCTAACAAGTTGGTATTATGTTTTGTGGTCATCATGCGGGTGCCTTGTTTGGGCCTCCGTATTTGCACAGGTTACTGGTACGTCCTCTTCAGCTTCACGTGACGTGCTAATGAGAAAAACACCGCCCAACGACTTTAGAAACGAGCTGCCACCATGTCCTACTTCCTACCACACCTCCCATCCGGCTGGCACGTCGACGAAGCCATCAAATCCGAAGAAGACCGCATCGTCGTCATCCGCTTCGGTCACGATTGGGATCCTCAATGTATGACGATGGACGAGACCCTCTACGCCATCGCGGAAAAAGTGCAGAACTTTGCGGTGATCTATTTGGTGGATATCACTGCTGTTCCGGATTTCAACAAGGTCCGTGTATCCTTATTCTGCGTACTGTATTCTCATTCTGATGTATCGTTCGTTTGCCGTGTGCGTCTAGATGTATGAACTGTACGATCCGTGCACGGTCATGTTTTTCTATCGGTGGGTAATATCCACTATCTGCCCTTGGGTTCCGCTAACGACACGAGCCAGGAACAAACACATCATGATCGATCTGGGCACCGGTAACAATAACAAGATGTGCGTTCGCTTTCTCCTGTTATCGTATATGCTCACCCACATCCCTGTATGGCAACAGAAACTGGGCCATGGACAACAAACAAGAGGTTTGTCCTGTACGCTCTAACTCGATGAATCCCTTACCGACACTTTCTTCACAGTTGATCGACATCATCGAAACCGTCTACCGCGGTGCCTCCAAAGGCAGAGGTCTTGTCGTCTCGCCCAAAGGTTCGTTCTTTCTCATTTTTTCGTTTGTCTCGCGCAATCGTCGGCTCTCCTCCGGGATTTATACATTTCGTTTTTGGCTGACTAACGTGTGGTTTCGCAGATTACTCGACGAGGTACAGGTACTAGACGGTCAGCCCACAAGTATCTGGAGGTGTTCGAGTTAAGCATGCCATCACTGAGATGGTTCGGTGTCCTCTACGACATATTAGCTCAAGATAAAACCGACGACACGGAGGCGTGCAGTGTCGTGGTTGGTGTATGTATAGTAGTTGTCTCGATCCTACTACATTAATGAATGTGGGGAATATGACGCCTGGCACAATCTGAGGTTGGAGCCTGGTGACTCACAACCCGATCATAAGACCAGAACAACCAATTCACCGCTCGAAAATAAGATGCACAGGGCATTAAGTTAAGATTCACACTAAATGTGTGTTCTAAGAATAATCTACGGCACGAAATAAAAACCACAGTATACCAATGTCGAAAACTGAAAAGTAACGAATGAGCGAACGACTTTACCGCCACATGTCCTCTTCATCTATCCCTTTCAGCCCACAAGCCCCCCACATCGCAGCCGCATTCAAATCCGGCATGCCATCGTCCTTCGTACCTACTACCCCTGCTATTTCATAAGCTGACCGGGTCTTTCCGGGCATACGCATATTTAAGTATGGAAAGCCAAGAGAAAGAAAAAGATACGCACCAATCCAAGGGATACCTTAATCATAGGTAATCCTGGAGTATACTCTTCCAGCTCCTCTTCCTCCTCGTTACCTTCACCGTCTGCTTCACTCCCAGGCAGAGAACCACGATGACGGGCCTCGCGCTTAACGAGCCTCACCACGTTCCTAGCCGCCACCCCCGCCTGATGATAGGCTGTATTTCCAGCCTGCAACGCTCCAAACGCGTCAGCAGCATCGCCCACTGCGAAGATATGTGGGTAGATCGTCGTCTGTTCTGCCGTTTTTGTTGTTCTCCCCTTGCCATTCCTCGGAACTGCCTGTTCCGTCTGCGATCGGGTCATCGTTAACCTCTGCGGAATGGCGGAAGATGGAATGGGCGAAGAAGGTGCAGGGCTAGACACTCGACTGACAGGTTCGCTCACGATCATTTTGTCCATCTCCTTCGTCACTCGTACGTCATCCGCCCTCAACTCAACCTTGCTCTCTTCGTTCTCGACCGACACTTGCATCCCCCTCGTTACGTGCACTAACCCTCCTTTCCCAACTGCGCGCGAATCCATGTCCCGCATGAGCGCCGTGTTGGGTGTTTGGCCTGTGCACAAGAGCTGTGTTTTTGATGTTCACGTACGTTAGTACAGCTCGTTTTGAGAAATGGGAAAGAGTGCGCACCACAACGTCCGCATCGATTTCTCTCCCCGACAGTGTTCGGACATGGAACACCGTTCCAGTCTTGCTTTCATCGGGTTCGCCACGCTGGCTGTGACGCAAGGAGTCCATGTCGAGACGGTCCCCGAGGATTACTTGGACACCGAGATCTTGTAGGGCGGTTAAGACTGTTCATTCGTTGTTTCGGAGTGCGATTGGAATATGAATGGGAATCGCCATGACACAGCACGACAAGTCCAATAAGGGCACACGCATCAAAAGTTGGATGAATGCAAAATGGAGATGAATTCGTGTCCCCAGCTAATAAACGGCGTCACGGACCTTCATCTCCGAGCGCTGGCTCAAAGCGCGGGAGAAGCTGTGTTCTCGAGTGCAGAAGAGTCACCCGTTTCTTGAGCGGATAGACGGCAGCGATGTCCGAGGCAAATTCTGATGGATGATGCCATCGATGGGTGACAGTGGCGTGATTGACGGATTTGGGAAGGGGCAGGGGGAAGAACGAAAAGAGGAAGGTGGGAAGTAAAGATGACAGGGTAGGAGGCCGAATGAGAAGATGCGAGACGACGAAAAGATAAGACACTCACGTATGCCCAACGCACCCCCGCCAACGATCAACACGCTCTGTGCTGCTTCTATACGTGCTTGGCGTTCTCGTAGCCGGTCTATCCCTTGACTTTTTGTACCAGTGTATGTCGGCTCATCATGACATCGAATTTTGTCGAGGTGCCGGCCTCGATGGTGCTCCCAGAGATCGATGGGTGAGGGGAGGTGAGATCCGAGAGCGTAGATGAGGTAGTCGAAATGGAGCGTCTGTGGTTCGGGTGTGGGCTCGGAAGACGAGCTTGATGTGACCGGGTGAGGTATGTATGTGATATAATGAGGGTGAAGAGATGTTACGGTGCCGTGTATTCTTATGTGAGGTGTGTCAGGGGTATCCGAGGTACCAAATGCGTAGTCGTATGGTATGACTGTGTGACGGGGGGATTCAGTCGTACGACAATGTCAAGAAAAGATGCCCGAAAGAACGCACACGCTTTGTGTTCGTGACCGGGTAGAACAGCATATCGAGCAAAGTTGTATACGTCTAGTCGACTATTAGCTCCGGACACCCAAATATGCGATCTAAAGACGCACTGTTGAGGTGTCTGTATGTCTCATTGATTAGCATCAACAGGAGGGCAGGGAAAGGGCAAACGACGCACGAGTTTCGTTCTACGAGTACGACTCTCCAGCCTTTTGGTAGATTAGTTGCAAGTAGCTGTGCAGCCCTGAATCCTGTTATCCCAGAGTCAAGCCTTGTAGTAAAAGTACATTCGGTGGACTGACCGCCATAGGATGCACCCAAGACAGCGACTGTGTGCAGCTGGTCTGACATTGCTGGGGGTGGGATGAGACTGATTTCTTTCGGAGACGGGACGGACGAATGTCGTCCGATTATATAATCTCCTTGGGACACCATTACATAAACTCCTGAAACTGACTTCAAACGAAGGACCGCCGCGGCGTTGCAGCGCATCGGATTAGCACTAAACGCTGTAGTAGCAAGTACGTATAGTATCTGCATACTACTGAATGGTCTCCACGGGGGTGAGCGCACACTCCACATTCCATTTCAATCCGAAATCCAATGGCCAAAGCATCTGTGACGTGTAGGGTGCGCGATATCGCCATGTGTAACATTTCAATTCGCTGTAATGTTCTTCACCGACACGAAACTAATCCCTACTGGCACCGGCGCGCATTCGCGTTTCACCAATAGGGCTGTTCTACTAGTCCCGTCTCCTACACGACAGTCGTCTCCAGTCTGATACCTCCCGAAACTCTTCCCTGCCGAAAACATAGGCTTGTTTTATGCTACGTACCTGGGTCTGTGCTCTAAAAAAATCCGCGCACAGATCAGCGAGAACTTTGTCTTCTCGCCTTCGAGGGTGCATAGGGGGCGGTATATATGCCTAACCCCGGAATCCCTCCATCCGTTCCCATTCGTATACGTCTCCCGCCCACGAGCCTTGGCAGATATCCCTAACTTCAATAACACGATTCACGATTCACACGCATTCTTCAATTGGTAAATGGTGGGAACAATATTCATTTCAGAAAAATCGACCGGGTGCAATCTCCCAATATTCCCGCCGGGCCGAGCCGTAACTCCATCGTGGTCCCCGCAGCCATGGGTCCTTTGCTCCCGGATGGCAAAACTCGCGTTTGCGACCGAACACGGCCATGTGTGGTCTGATGCCATCAGCTACCAGTGCAAATGCTCGATACGCTAAACATTTCCAGTGCACGATTTACAAACGCAAATCCGTCGTACTTGCGCCCCGTAAACCATAGCGCTGCAACACTGGTATATTTCCTCCCGTCTCCATGGCACTCCTCCATCCACTATCTTCTTGTCCATCCACGTCAAGGTAGTCTTTCCATCCGTCTTGGCCTCTGAAGTGATTCTTCCGAATCTCAACGTAGAGTCGATGTGACGTGTGGGCTGCGGGATATCGCCACATAATCGTTGCGGTATAATATTCTGCCATCGACTCGGGACTAAGTCCCTGCCACCGATACGTATTCGTGTTCAACTTAACGAGGCTGCTCTACGAGTTTCGTCCCCTACACGATAGTCTTTGCCCGATACTGCCGAAATTCCGGCCGGCTGAATGCATACCCACATAGGGTGCGTTTTTTTTGCCGGGTTCTACGCCATGGAACATCCACGCAATGTCCAATGGCAAGAATGTCTTCTCGCCTTCGAGGGTGCATAGGGGGCGGTATATGTGCGTAACGCAGGAATTCCCACTTCATCTCCCATTGCCTACAACGGGTATGGATGCTCAAGTCTGATCACCCGGCACCTGTAATCGCCGCCACGACGAAATGATTCGGGGTTATTGCGTTGTCTCTTCTCGCCACGTATGCGCCTCATACTATGTAGTATTAACGTTCGGTACGCTGAACACACCTACAGGAACACTAATCGTACTCTGAGCACAACCCGTAAACCATCGAAGAAGATTTATGTCTACGTAGGGCGCTAGCGACGGACATCTCCGATCCCTGTCGGCCGAAAATGGCGTGTAACAAACATCTCAGATATGGCTTTGTTCAGACAGCGTTGCATTTCTTCTTTCATCTTCCGCTCTTCGACGCGCTCGAACGTGTACCAATAATGACGAACGACGTTATCCACAGTTCAAGACTATTGATACATGATGCATGCGCAACTCTGCACTGCTGTTCTACAAGGGTCGATACTTATAATCGGTACCTCCTGCTCTGTCGATACACATTTCGATTCACATTCGTTCAAAACAATGTCAGCCCTGTTGACGAGATCAAGTTCAACCATGTACGTAAGAGAAGTCATCACTGCTAGCTTATGGTTAACCACTTAGCTGTATTAGGGAGCAACAGTTCCGCTCCAAGATGCGTATGGCCGTCCCACCCAGGACGCTCGTGAGAACAAGTCACCCTCCGCCACGCCCTCCCCCACACGCCTGCGGTAATCGATTGACGGTCGTTCCCCATACAGTAGTGGTCCCTCAGTGCGATCAGGATCATCAGACCCTCATCAACACTCGTCTTTATATAAAGTCCGCCAGGGTCTTTATCAATACGATTGACATGCCATTCTTCTTCAATCGACTACCTCACGAGGATCATGTACAGAAAATCAGGGTCGACGGAGGTAAGCATTCGGTATTCAATTGTCATCAATTCGTTCACGCGGTTTGTCCGGCACCGCAAGGAGTGCTGCTGCAAGTACGTACGTAAGAGCGAGAATTCTTTCACGAGTGTGACCTCGGATGATTGTGTGTTCTGGCTCTCATGGCATCGCTTTTTGTTGCATAAATGCACTATGTTAAGGTACAAACACAACTGGCACTCATTTCAACAGAACTTATCGCATCGGTCTGCAATCAAGTTTTTTCATGTAATTGAGATTAGTTGACTAAGCCATACTCCACCCGTCTCCGCCGACTAATCCTCCTTTAGCCTCAGTCAGCATGCAGCACCAATTGGGCCCGGCCAACGAGAGCAACTTCTTGAGGGCACACGCAAATCCCCTAAGCTTAGCTTCCGGAAGGTGTCGCTGATCAATTCCCGATTGTTTTACTCGTGCGGATCACACTGGTCAACGGCTTATACATAAGACCTGAAATTCAGAACGATCAGATGTCCCGCCCTACGTAGACGAGAAGGTGAGCGTTCTTCACTGCATAAATGCCATCCATGTCTCAGTGCATTATGCATATTTCACAAAAGTCAGCATATATATGCCCAGAACGCAAGAAACTTGTTGTTTCTCACTTATTTCGTAGCCCACTTCGACCCAACAACGCTTCGATCCCACCCATTGAGGGAATTTTCAATATGGTTGGGGGCGTATCATAGCTGTGGTCGATAAATAACTGTGTAAGACTGTGGTGAATGGGAAACTGCATCATTGACATTTAAAGGATCGATGTTTGACAGTGGAACTGGATACATCATACAGGAACAACAATCCAGCCAGATTTGCAAGAGGTCCTGGATCAGGTCGACAGTATTGTTCATTCCTTCGGCCCTACTTCCACCCTCCGCACATGGGACTCTGGCATACCAGCGAGCTCTCGTTGTAGCTAGTTGCCAATGTTATCTCATACATGTCGGCACGCAGTGTAGGCAAAACTCTCCCCTGGAATCGCTCATGTAATGATATTCCACTCTGTTGCGTTGCGAGTCAATTTTATCCTGTTCCCGTTATACCTGAGCTGCACGACAGCGTAGTCAGTCGGTTCTGTCCCGTCCCCGTTCCAATCCCCCAACTTAGCAACGCCAGGTACCCAAGTCCTGTCAGCCACAGCAACATCCTCTGAAGGGAGTGCATCTCAGACGTGACAATGTCGCGCAACGGTCAGTCGCAGTGACAACTCCTGAAAATATGGGGTTACAAAGTACCGCGCGTACTGAGTTCTCTAGCGGAAGAAACGTGGTCACGGTCAGGCGTTACTGGCACCAGCATGGGGGACACCGGGAAACTGACTGTATGATCCAATGCCTCACCTTACTCTTGAGTTGGGAGAAAAAGACTGCTTCGAGTACTCGTGTAGGAAGTTGCCATGGTCATCATAATGTCATAATGAACGGTACATGGTTTTGGGTTGCCATCCGCAGAGTGGAACCGTCATGGGTGCCTCGAGGCTGTTGGTGACAGTGGGCCGGGCTATGCAATATCGTTGGCTGGCGAGCATGCACTGGCAAACTCGTTTCTTCGGAATTACGACATCCTCACCAGCTATTCAATTCATTTAAACCTACCCACGACTCTGTGGACATCAAGCTATCCACGATGACCCACTCTTCTGACGCATTTTTTTTTCTTTCTAAACGCTCGTTGGCAAATGTCACATGGAATGTTCAATCTAAAAGATCTGGGGAGCAAAAGGTATGTAGACTGATCGGGGCGGAGTTGACTGTCACCGCTGACCAGTGACTCGAGGTTCCCAGCAGTGCAGCGAAGAATCGCCTGACCCCGCGCCCGTCCCCCTGTGCCACTACGATGAACGCAGTCTGTTTGTTAATTCATTTTGGAATGCATGTTGCCGTATTCCTTTCGCGTTTCATCAGTTTCCGTTTTCGTTTCGAGGGGCCGTCTTTCTCGGCCTATTCCACCGATCCCGTGACGCAGTGCAGCCCTGCCACATCTAGCACACTCCGAACATGAAATCCCATCAGTTCATTCGCCTGGTTCTGATAAACATGGAGAATCCAATCACTTCCCCTTCTGATCGTCATCAAGACGGTGCACGGAGATGATAGGCGTATTCATAGCCGATGTTCCGGTCCACCAGTGATCATCGTTCCCAAACCCGGTGCACGTTCATTCGGTGGATGACGTCCAACCACACGTTGAGAACCCAACTTCCTTCAGAATGACATATTACACCCTCACACAGTGCTGGTGACCCGTCGTTTCTTCGGCCCGTATTCGGCTGTTCTTAAGTACCGGGCGTCATGGAAGCACCTACTATGTCTTAATGACAATACTCCGGGATTCTGACAGGCTCTGTCTTCTTTGGTTGGTCAGGGGTCTGCTTGGTGCATCGCACTTCTAACTCCTGTCGACGCGGCTAATGCTGTTATCGCCGCAGCTATGTTCTAGCCGCCGCACTGCATATCTAGCTACCGCCTTCCTGATCCCAGCCAGCATCTCCTTCAGGCACCATTACCCAGAGTTGTCTAGGCTGACCCCCGCTCTCGAGTACCACCCGTTAATCGCCATGAGGAGCAGTAGCAGCTTACTTTGGCTCTGATGCCATCAGTCCAAGACTTGACGTCCCTCGTAGGTGTCGGCGTATGACGATACAACATTAACGAGCCGTGGCGTCGTCTGTCATGCAAATCCATGTTGCGTGAATCTAGTCGTTGGGCACAGGCAGTGAATAGAGGTTGTCGCAATACTCCTGGATCCGCTTTCCTCCCTTTCGCGGGCCTTTCCCTACAGACGCATTTCGGCCCTAGGGATTTGCTCCTAGATTGACGGTTTCGCTGCACTTGACAACACCTATGCTCAATATGGCCGATGAATTACGCGAGTGCTGTTATCCTTTCGGTGAAAGGACCCAGCATCGGACCTTCATTGCATCAGGTCTTAGGGCAATCAATCCTTGTGACGTCAAAGTATCGCATGTAACGTGGTTTGCAATTCCCACATTGAAGAGGCGTGGCTACGTCTACTCGTCAACGACTCCGCAATCCTATGTCTCATTACTTAATCGTTGGCAGTAATTTACAGTCATTTCCGAGCTCTGAACATTCCGTCCTGACATCATTTTTTAACTGTTCAAACTGCAAGTTTTTGAAGTCGGTGGGCATTATGCTATCTGGATCATAGGTGCAGCTGACATGTTTTTGCAAACCTTCCACGGGAAAAGGCGAAGTCTTCACGCGCGGTCCCGAGTATCCAAGTATAATGGTAGCGGTACTCAAATGTTGCTGGCCGATCGAGGCGGGGCTTTAATCATTTCGAGGTCTTTCTCTCCCGAGAATACCCCACTCAGAGGGGCTCTCGGTAACTTGCTTGCTTGCCGTGCTTCCAGTTGCGGTGTCGAGTGAATGAAGAACACTAGAATTCGAGTGTACGCCAACTGCTTCTCCACGATGGAGAGGCGCGTCCAGGGTGCGCAACTTGTTTCCGTTCAACCCGTATCTTGGCTTGGAGCACATCGATCAGGCGCGGTGTATACCTTCCGTCTTGCGGTTCATCGCGGTGAGAGAATTCTACCGCGGCATCTGTTTCTGAAAACGAAATGGTGGTATTTGAATCAACCAATCGTTCTCCCTTCCTTTCTAGTGGTTGATCCACGATTTCGGGGGAACAGGTGGGGAAGACCATGATGGGGTGGCTTAAGTGACACAGCACTTCAAACATACTACTTCGAACCGCCATGCAGCTTGAGTGTGTTCCTTGGTGAGCTTTCGTCGTTTTGAGCTCTTGCCATGGAATTACAAATGATCAGAAGGCAAGCATCATACTTTTCCTCCGGGAAATTCAGATTCGTTTAGATGAAGTGGCAAAACCTGCTCCTCGACCCACTGATGCAGCGCCGCATCCAGTGGACACGTTGGAATACTCGCAACCTGACGTGCCCCCCTTTAAAAACAAAGGACATGAAACGATTGTGCTGTATCATTCGACAATGTCTGACAACACCAATATACCGCCTGCCGACGACAATCAGACGACACCTCCCCCTCATAACGTAAATGGGTCGACGCACATTACCCGCGATAGCCAGTGAGATACTCGTCTCTTTCTTCTCGTCGTGTGCTCATTCAATGGTGCAGCGGTGTATTTATCCTTGAAGGCACCGAGACTAATGTGCTACCCGCCGATGACAATCAGTCGACTTTTCCTGATCCCGGTTATGAGCTCAACCAGTCGATGCATTTTAATGGCACTGACAAGTAGGTTCCTTCTTTTCTCCGCTCGGCGTGTGCTCATTCAATGATGCAGCGGTGTGCTTATCCTTGAAGGCACCGAGACCAATGTACTACCCGCCGATGACAATCAATTGACTTTTCCCGATCCCGGTTATGAGCTCAATCAGTCGATGCATTTTAATGGCGCTGACAAGTAGGTTCCCCTCTTTGCTCCGCTCGTCGTGTGTTAATTCAAAGATGCAGCGGCGTATTTATCCTTGAAGGCACTGGGACCAATGTACTACCTGCCGATGACAATCAGTCGACTTTTCCCGATCCTGGTTATGAGCTCAACCAGTTGATGCAATATAATGGCGCTGACAAGTAGGCTTCCTCTTTGCTCCACTCGTCGTGTGCTCATTCAGTGATACAGCGGTGTATTTACCCTTGAGGGCACCGAGACCAATGTACTACTCGCTGATGACAATCAGTCGACCTTTCCCGATCCTGATTATGAACTCAACCAGATGATGCAATTTAATGGCGCCGGAAAGTAAGTTTCCATCTTTGCTCTGCTCGTCGCGCGCTCATTCGATGATGTAGCAGCCTCTCCACTCTCATCGGCGCGCTGGGACTTGAAGGCCCGCCCAACGAGGCTGAACATGTGAGTTTTTCGTGAAGACTGGTTGATACACGCATGAATCTGTTTTGTCAGGCCGCCTTCCCCGGCTCGCTATTGCGTGTACGGGAAATCCTTGGTCTCCTCACCGGGCAGCACTTCATAGATAACTAACTATTTCAGTGCTCTGACACTCTTCCTTGTTACTCGTGTACTGTTCCCCCGGTTACGCTTGTGCGTGTAAGATCACAGCCAGATGCTCACTTCTTTTTTCATCGTGTTGCCCTGAGAAGTTGTCAAGGCTCATCTCGTGACCCAACGCGTGCCTAAGTATGTGGCCAATAGGGTGTCAGTCCATTCACTTGTGATACATACACCCACATTCTTGAGTTTGGCCATATCAGGTAGTCATCACGCTTATGACACATGCCCCGATGACGTGTGCGATGACCCTTGAGGCGGCAGGTGCAAACCTGACATCAATACAACATGCTTTGGTTCCACAAGCTCTGAGCAGCAAACCGAGATTCCGCCCACTGCGAACCACCCCAAACCATCAAAACCATCGAGTGTGGCTTTGGTGCCGTGGCATCGGGGCAAAATTGGCTATCACCTTCGAGTCCTTCGGCTGGATTCGACCATTGTCACTGCAGACAATCCATCGCCTTCTGTTGTAAATGTCGTAGCCGGGGCTTGAACCTGCGGCACACGCAGTCAAAATTCGTGGTGCTGCAAAGCTATCACTAGTGTCTAAAAATTGCATACCTCCCAGTTGTACCACCTGTATACCTGCTTTTTCCTTGCCTTGTGTTCTGGCACCTTTTCTGGGCCAGTATGCTCGCGCTAGAAGCAGATGCTTGGGTTCCGGGCACCGTGAAACGTGTCACTCCAGTACCTACATAACCCGATAGTCCCGGTAGGTCGCGTTGTCGCCGCTTTTGCCTTCGGTGATCGCAAATATTTTCAGATACAAACTTACAGTGCCTGCAAGTGCATTATAGGCCCCTGTGAGTGGTGATCAAGAACGTCACGTGCATCAACGCACATAAGTCCTGAAGTTGCAACGACAATTCGCATAATACATTCTTGGACCAGTTTCCCTCAGTTTAAGTGCACAATTAGGCAATGCAGCGGATCGATGGCAGTCGGAATTGTTTTGGCTGAGACCCCGAACGATGGCCCTTACAGGGGCGTCGTGGCAGCACCTCTCGGGACACGCAGCGCACTGGCATTCTCAATATGTACCTATTCTGGAAGCTTGCAATCATCTCGAGGTGATCCAGGTCGCCGCTACCCGTGACAGGGAAAATGAGTGCTATGTAGGTCGACCTGGAGGCTTGCAGATCGATAATATCTTGAACTTCTGGATATGGTACTCTGTATTTTTGCCGCATGTATTCTGCTTTGTGATTTCTAGCCGGCGTCAAGGCCCTTCAAACACGAGAAAGTTGGGTATTTGTGACCTCTGGCAGGGACTTGGAGGAACTGATTGTGATGACGTTGATTACTAAGCAAGTGCCTCATGCCTGCCACTGGCACTCGTCCTCGTGCATCTGCTGGAGCGCCTCTTCATCAAGTCACACGAACATTATGATCTTCGAGGCGTCCAACAGCGCGTTATCATCTGTCTTGCCTCGCCTTTCATAACCTTGGCCAGATTTAACCCTCCACTCTGTGCTAATTCATCTCGGAGACGATAATACTGCGCGACCGAGTGAAGGGAGTCCTCAAGGATATGGTGCTATAACCTGCTGTTACTCTTTTTGCCATCGTTCGGAACGACCAACCAGGATTACATTCTGCTGTGGCTGACACGTGTCAGCCAAAAATGGCCGTTCACCTACTGCGGATCCAGGTCCAGGTACTGAAGGTTGAGTTTTTTTCCCCCCTCTTCTGGCCATAATCAAGAGATCTTCCGAAGATGATAGACATGTCAACGCCCTCTCCTCAAGACTGACGTCTGTTACCTTGTAGTAACCGCTGCTATCAAGTATTGTGATTGTCATCCAGAGATGGTACGTCGTCCTTCATCTCAACTGACTTCATTTACACGTTTAATGACTCCCTACCTCCTGCAAGGACTGCAAACGATATCTTCACTTTCGTACACGTTAGTCGACGTTTCCGCGTACTTGGCTGTTTCTAAGTATCCGAGGTGCCAAGAGTGCAGGTGCTCGTTTATGGTTCTGTCAGGCTCTTAGTTCCCGGTAGCTCTTCTATGACCACTTTTTGTTGTCAGGCTGCACTTATTCCTTTATCAGCCAGAGTTTACGGAATCGATTCGGTCTCTGGGACACTCGTTGCATGCTCCCAGTACCAACTGCTTGCAACAACGATGTTCCTAAGCTTCTACTATCAATTAGACGACTTTACACGATGTCAACTTCCCATCCAGAGACGCAGGCTTTATTTGATTCTAATTAGCCTACCCGCTATGCATATCCTTGTCCCGCAATTCTTATCGCTTGGACACAGCCGTCTCATTCACTTGATCTCTACAGGGTCCCCCCCACCGACACCATTCACGGTGCCTAAATATTCAAGTTTAATACATACCGTTTTCCTTCCATTGCGACGATTTAGCTGTACCGATCTGATGGTACACTCGTGTGGCGTTAATACTCTGCAATCAAGACGCTATTTAGGCAGTCATATTTTCCAATGAACTTGCATGACGGGGGATCATTTCTTGGTCTGACGCGTCGTTTCTTCGGACGGCCCGTATTCGGCTGTTCTTAAGTACCGGGTGTCAGGACACATGCTCTATGTCTTAGTGGCAGTATTCCGCGATTCTGACAGGTTCTGTCTTCGTCGATTGGTTAGGGGCCGTCCTCTCGGGTGCCGCTCACTGGTCGTCATGTAGGAGCAGAAGCAGTTTACTTGGGCGTTGATACTATCGGTTCTGTTCCCTTGCAGGTACGTGCATATGACGATGCGATTTTAACGGGTCGCTCGTCATGCAAATCCATGATACGTTGTACACAGTTGATGAAGAGGTCGTCGCAATGCCCCCTGGATACGAGTCGATATCGGACAGTATCGGACTTGGCACACCTGCCAAGAAATTAAAATAATTAGTACATCCCTGAATGCTCGCTCGTCGCACGAGTCGAGGGGACGCGTGCTCCATACTGAACAGGCGTGGCCAGGTCTACGTAACTACCAGCCAATGACTCGCTCCAATTATCCAATCATTGGTCAAACCTTCAGCTTCAGATCTCATTTGGAGACAAACCGCAAGGCTCATTCCACGCAGAGTTCAATTTTCATTCAAATTATGTGTTTTTGCAGCTGGTACGCATTATGCCTGCCAAGTCATTTGTGTAGCTGACATGTTTGTGGCAAATGGTAAAGGGCAGGATCTCGCACGATCCCAGTATCGGTACTCAAATGTTACCGGCTGCCGTGCTGATGCCTATGATGAAAGGAACTCCTGTGCATAGCGATTATGATCGAAGGTGGGAGTCGACGCTAATTCTCCCGCGATAATGCAACGTTAGTTTTCCCGTGCAGTGCGCATCCCACTCAGAAGAACTCTCGGTAACTTAGCCTGCCCTGCTTCCACTTGCGGCGTCGAGTGAACGAAAACACTAGAACTCGGGGGTACGCCAGTTGCCTCTAGTCATATCACAACTTGCAACATAGTGCGGTTTGCTCCGGCATGGTTTCTAGTGTTGTCACCCTGCGTTGATACGAAATCGGTCCAGCGTTCTGCTCTTCTGCTCTCTTCTCCGTGATGAGGTTCATCTCTCAATCTGCTGGGTCATGTGGAAGTTTTTATGACCAGTCACACAGCGTGTAATGCATGTGGGAGGTGTGTTTTTTTATAGTCCGACTGGCTCAGAATCTGAATTTCAGCAGGTTCACTAGCGATAACCATCCACTCTCCATCCACTAGTCATTATGTGGACCACGACTTTAAATACGGTGAAAAAGTAAGTGTAATCATTCGTTTCTTCTGGGACCGCAGTTGATTCCATAGATTATATTTCACTGCACTTCGGGGAGGCGCATTCAGGGTCACCGCTCCTATCCAAGATACGAAGTGAACGGAACGCTGTACACATCGTTGAGGCGTGGTGTATGCCTTGTGTCCTGCAGCTCATCACAGTGAAGGATTTCTGCCGCGGTACCTTTCTTTCTACAATTGTAAAGGAATGAAAGGTTGATATTTGAATTGATCGATAGCTACCACTCTGTAGTGCCTGATTCACAATTTCGGATCGCCGGGAAGATGATGATAGAGTGATACTGCATGTACTTCAAACTTCAATGCTGCTTGAGTGTGCTCTTTGGTGAGGTTTCGTCGTCTTGAGTTCTTGCCGTGGCATTGCAAATATCCAGAATCTCCTGCCCCTCGACCCACTGGCACTGCACTGCATCTAGTGAACACCTTGGGATGCTTTAACCTGACGCGCACTCCTTTAAAAGCAGAGGACTTGAGACGACTGTGCCATATCATCCGACAATGCCTAACGACACCCAGTCGACCCCTGCCCCTCATGAGCCCAACGAGCAGATGCACTTTAACCACGTTGGCAAGTAGGTCTCCTCTCTGTCCCGCTCGTCGTGCGCTCATTCAATGATGCAGCAGCACATCCAGTCTCGCCGGCGCAATGGGAGATGGAAACCAGCCCAACGAGACTGACCATGTGAGTTTTTCGCGAGAGTGGTTGATACACACACGAAAAGTTTTACCAGGCCGCTTTTCCCGGTTCGATGTTACACACGCCCGAAATCCCCGGGCTCTTAGGTAACGGCTCATAGAAGGTCAATGCATCCAGTGGCTTGATATATACTTCCGTGGTCGCTACTTTTGTACCGTTCTCCTCCCAGTTGCACCTGCTCGTGTAAGAACATCGTCAGATTTTCTCTTCTTTTCTATCTCGTTATCACAAGAAAGTTCCAAAGGCCCTTCTGGTCAGCCAACGTGTGCATACGCCCCACATTAACTTCGGCCATGTGTTCTTGGACACACGCTCCAAGAAAAGGGAGAGGACGATCTTTGAACCTGCAGTGCAGGTATGATATTAAAACACCATGGTTTCGGTCTGCATGCTCTGAGCAGCAATCTGTAGTTCAACCCTCGCTGCGGACCACACCAAACCAGTTTTGATGCAATGCCATCCGAGAAAGTTTGTGTTGTTATTTTCGCCTTCTTCAGGTCGTGTCACTGTCACCACACGCAATTCGTCACCTAAGAGTGTGACATGCCAAGGCCTTAACCTGTGGCCATATGAAAACCAACAATCAAAATTTGTGATTCGCAAAGATATTGTCTAACGTTTGCATACCTCCTAGTGTATCTCCCTGTGCACCGGCGTTTTTCCTGCCTTGTCTGGGCTAGTATGCTCCCTGTAGTAGCAAGTACTCTGATTCTGGGCATCGTGAAACGTGCTATTCTAGAACTTGTGCACCTGCAGATCCTAATAATCTCGCTAGTTAATGCTGTCATTGCTTTTGCCTGCGGTGATCGCAATGTTGTGAACTTACAGTGCCTGCAGGGACATCACATAGACCCTGGCAGTGGTAGTCAAGAACGCCATGTGCGTCAACGTACATGGGTATAGTATGGGCGGCACGCGTTGCGACGACAATCTGTATGATTCGTACTTGGGCCATTCCCCCTTAGGTTAGGTGGGCAATTTGGAGAGACAGTTGAGACTTCTGATAGATGGTGACACTGCAGGGTATTGGTGACCTCCGGGTAAGTTCGACAAGCGGTTTTTTGTTTGAGTTTGACGTCTACAACATTTAGTCATCTAAGCCATGTAGCCTCAGGGGTTGCTACGTCCTAGGGAAGGACAGTAGGTTGTAGACAGTACATGGAGAATAAGTGGAAATCAAGAAAAGGTGAGCAATCAGCGAAGGACTGTGCCTCGATAAAGACCTCAATACCTTAGTGCTGGCGTTGGCTGGCTCCAGCGCTTGTTGGTCCGAATGCCGTCAGCCTCATTTCTTTGAACCACCAACCTTACATAACACCTTTCTAGCCTATCATTATGTCTGGAACTCGTCCCGGTGGATCTGCTGACAGTGCATCATCATTGCATCGCGCGAGCACAACTACGAGCTTTGAGGCATCCTGCTGCGCGTTATCATCTGTTTTGCTTCTCTTTTTACCAACTTGGCCTGTTTTGTGGCGATTCATCTCGGAGTCAATATTGTTGCGCGCCTTTCGTGTCTTACCAACGTCCTTGTTTGCCATCGTTCGGAACGACGCGCGAGGAATGCATTGCTTTAGCTGCTGCTAACATGTTCCAAACATTTAACACAAAGCCCCGAACCATGAACGTTTGAATGCCTCGTTTACCTGCTTCTAATTGGTGCTGAAGGTTGAGTTTGTCCCTCTTCTGGTCATCATCAAGAGATCTTCTCAAGATGATAGGCCTATCAACGGTTTTTTGTCGAGGATGACGTTTGGTACCTTGCTGCATTCGTTGCTCCAAAGTGTGTTGTTCAGTAAATGAGATGTGATTGCTATCCAGAGATGGTATGTCGCCCCTCAACCCAATTAATTTCATTTACATGGTTTACATGTTTGACGTCTTTTACCACATACGACGTCTTCACTTCCGCTCACCTTACGCGATGTATCTGTGGATGAGTCTACTCGGCTGTTTCTGCGTACCCGGGGTGCCAAGACTGCAGGTGTCCATGTTTGATATTGCCCCTGGTTCCCCGCAGCTCTGCTTTGACCACAATTTCTGGTGTCAGGAAATACCTGCTCTTCCATCAAGCAGAGTATAAAGCTTTGTGGAATCGATTTATTGTCTTGGATACTCGTTGCGTGCCCTTAACGCCAACTGCTTACAATAACGACGGACTCCGTCATCCTTACCATCAGTTGCACGACATCGACCTCCCTTCCGGGGACTTTTAGGCTACCCGTTATGCATACTACCTCGTCACATGATTCTGAACGCTTAGACGCAGTCGCCACATCCCCAGGCTCACTTAATTTATCTTCGCAGGGTTTTCCCTCACCGACGCCATTTGGGCCTTTGAGTTTCACAATGGGCTGCTGGTTTGGTTGCAAGCAACTTTCAAAGTTTGCGCCGGCCGCACTGTGGGCAGTGAACCGCGTAACATGTTCATCGTGCCTAAATGTCCAAGTTTAATACCATTATCCTCCCAGCAACGGTTTAGCTGTGCCCATCTAATGGCACACTCGTGTGGCGTTAATACTCTACATTCAAGACGCTGCTCAAGCAGCCACACTTTCCATTAAACTTGCATGACGGGGGAACGTTACACAGGTTATGGCCTCCGCACTTGAAAGTTGGCCTCGCTTACATAATCTATGAACCGGCAGAACGGAGTCGCCGCGGCGGACGTCCAGTTAGGTGGGTATTCCGCCTTGACTCACGGGTGTAGTTAATACGTTGGCAAGACTTCCGTGGTAGAGGGCAGAGTTCTCCACGGAGCGCCTTATCGGTCGCAGGACTGTATTGTGCGTCCACGGAGCTTTCGCTTTATCTCGTTAAAGTCTTCCAGCTACCTGTTCTGCCGCTCCACTCACGCCTGGTCGTGTAGGTTAAAGCGCCACGGACTCCTGACTGGGTTGTGCTCGTGGGATAATAAGTTTATCTGGATTATCTGGGTTAGTTGGGAGCGTGATACGTGATCCTTACGTTGTATTTTCGCATAGCCTGATTCTCACGGATTGCGAGTTTCAGCAGTATTGGACAGCTAAAATCAGGTCGTTCTCTGTCTGCTGGTCTACTGCGAAGGTCATGCTGGGCAGCTCTTGTGTATACAAGATTGTTCAGCCTGATGTCCAGAATCCATGAAATGAGCATACCATGTGTGCTCCATTCATCGAGGACCACATTCCGGGGTGGAACTCCGTCGATCACATCTCACCACTCCGCAACGTACAAACAGGTCCGAGGTCACAAGTCCTCCTTGCCAAGACACGAGGCCAGTCAGAGTCTTATCAGTCAGAAAAGGTGCGGAGGCTAGCACGGATGGAATTACATACATGAATTAGAGGCGGCGTGTGCTCTTCGTTTCGCGGCTGGTCACAGGGGGGTGCACTTACGGACGTGGTGCGTCTGTTCCGCAACTTTCGGATGATGGGAAAGAGAGAGATCAGTTGATGGCTAACATGCATTATTTTTTGAGATCAGATCGCCACGAAGATGATGATCAAGGGCGCACTCCGGACTATTCACTATTCCGCGACGTATTGGCATATTGCCATGCGTGTTCTCCCATGGCGTTTTGTCGACGGCCGGTTCTGAGTCCTGACGGTAATAGAGGGGAGCATCGTGTTATGGATCAAGATGCAAATCTATGACCGTTTGGATTCAGTGAAAAAGTTCGTTGAATGAACCCGCTGCTCTTTGACCCACCAAAACCGACACTGCATCCATTGAACCACGCTGAATGGCTGTAAATCATCATGCACTCTGAGAACCCATTTAAAAAGGCAAGGTGTCGTAGAGATGGAGTCCTCGACCCAATCCAAGTGCAGAAGACTCGAGTCCTGTAAACCCTTCGACGATGCCTGACAGGATCATTATTACTTTTGAACCCGAAAGGCCCGGACACTATGGGGGCCCAGCTACTTTGTTTGTCATCCCTCGTTATTCCACTCGCGGTGCGCTCATGCCATGGTACACCAGTTTACCCAGTTCTAGTGCAATTGCTAGTGCGTTCCCACCTCAAGCTCCAGGTGCAAATGCCATCCACCCCGACGACGTGAGTTTTTACGTGGAGAGCGGTTGATGCATGTGTGAACTTTTGTTTAGCAGATCATACTCCCTGAGCCTGTTGTGTACGCCTCCAATGACGGAACGATGTTTGGCGTAACCAATATTCAACTTCACCCCCATGAGCGCGAGGTATTGCTGCACTCCGATAATGTTAACCAGTACGGTACCCTTCTTTGCTCCACTCCTGTGCTCATGGAAATGATGTAGTGATTCGTATACGCCCGCGAAACGTTCCTGAACCTGAAGTTCCTCTCAACCAAGCCCCAGATAGCGGCCCTATCAATAATGTGAGTTTGTCCATATAGAGTGGTCGATGCCTGTATAAACAATTTTTTGCCCCTTTCGCTGTCTGCGCAGGTTCCGGACATTAGCGACAACGAAACGACGTATCACAGTCCCGATATGCGACCCCAACATGACGGCAATAACCAATAGCCATGCAAAGGATACACTCTTCACTTACCCTTCGCATCATTTAGCGAAGACTCCGTAGAAAGCAAACCCATACTAATGCTTTGATATGGATTTATTATATATTTTCTTCTGTAAATTACTCGTGCAAGTTTGTCATAGTCCAGACGGGCCGTCCGGACCATACCCTCTCGCGAATGCTTCCAGAAGACATAAACTGGGTTACCCATCGCTGTAGGCAGGCCTGCTCGCCTGTTTCCAAGTACCCGGGTACCAAGAGTGTGGTTGGTGTGTGTCAGAGTTTTCTTAGGGTCCTTTATGAGGGGGAATTATTCATTGCTATCAGTGCGGTTAATGCTTTTGGTTGCCCGCAACCCTGTTCAGTTAATCACCGTACCGCCAGTGTTTCTAGCTTTCTGATCTTGACCAAAATTTATTCCTCCGTCGGACGGAGTTATGGAGTCGATAGTAATACACGGCACAAGTAAGTCGCCGGGGACATTCAGTGCATGCCAGTCGCGAACTTGTAGTGGGTACTCCACCTTGACAGAGGTAGTTGATGACTTCCGTGGTGCAGGGTACAGTCTTCACAGAGCGCCCAATTGTCGCCTTGCTAATTTTACCGACTGCTGTGCCAGCATCGTGTGTATTCACGCTGCAACACAACACTCTTCTGGTGATCGCTGTGATGATTCGCCTATCCCCAAGTAGCACGGAGTAGTGGACTAAACAATGAATTATCTCACGCTCACTTGGTCTCACTCTACCCCATTGAGGTCTTATAACTAAACCACCAGTCCCGCATATCTGCGTTGTGTTCGTGGGATAATGAACATCACAATTATCAGCTGGACGCACGCACCTCCTGAGCGCCTGACTGAACAGTAGGATTGGTTGTCTTTTTACACACCCTGATTCTCACGGATTATGGGTTCCAGCAGGGTTGGGCACCCTGTCGCTCTTTGTCTACTGTTCTATTGGATGGTCACCCTGGGCAGCTCTTGTGTATGCAAATTCATTTATCTTCAAGTCCAGATAGAAGCCCTCAAGACGGCTTGCAGGCCCCTCTCGAAGGTGTGACCCTGTCCATCATGTTTCATTCTTTTGCGATGCATTTCAACAGGTTCAAGGTCACAGACGCTCCTTGCCAAGATACGAGATCGGCGGGGACCTTAACAACCACCAGGCTAGCATGGACTAGTTAGAGGTGGCATAAGCTGCTCACGCAGCTGTGCAGCCGATCACAGGGGTACCCATGCTCGTGCTACTCTTTTCCCTAGAACCCTGCTGAATGGCTGTAAACTGACAGGCACCGCGGCTGCCCCTTTAATAAAGAAGGTGTTGTGGAGATGCTGTAAACTGACAGGCACCGCGGCTGCCCCTTTAATAAAGAAGGTGTTGTGGAGATGGAGTCCTCAATCCACTGCAAGAGCAGAGGAGACGAGTACTCCAAATCTTTCGACAATGGTCGACACCAATCCTTTTGACCCCGAGGGGCTCGAGCGTCACAACGGCTCTCAATCCACCGCAAGTGCAGAGGAGACGAGTATTCCAAATCCTCCGACAGTGCTCGACGAAACCAATCCTCCTGACCCCGAAGGGGCCGGGCACCACAATGACCCGGCTATCTCGTGTGTCATCCCTCGTTATTCGGCTCGCCGTGCGCTCATGCCATGAAATGTAGCACACTCGCTAATGCTTTGCATCATCCAACTCCACCTGTAAATGCTGCGCCAATGGATGAGGTGAGTTTTTGCGTGGCGACTGATGCACCCATAAACTTGCCCTCTCTTTTGTTCATTTTTAGCAGGTTATTCTGCCCGCACCGGTGCTGGACGCAAGTGGCGACGAAATTCGTGAATCTTTTGGATGGAAAGAAGGTTTCCACTCAAGTTATCGCATCACTTAGTAGCAGAAAGTGGATTGATATCGGTACGGTTTGAGATGGATTCTCTGTCTTTGTTGTCTTCGCTTGTGTTCCTGTAATGAGTTTTGCATGTGTAAGATCGTTGTTGAATATTCACTGGCTTCGCGTCGAGCTACCCGGCGAAGGTTTCAGCGTTTAATTACTTCGTGAACCATCAAAGGACTGTGACTGAACGTGACTCGGCGTGTTGCTCGCTTGCTGGCCAGTTGCGTCATGTCTTTACTACCGGTTCTACATTTGAAATACTCTCGCGATTTGCGCCCTACTGGGGGCCTGTCCTGGTTCCCTGGTCTGTGGTCATGCTGTGCGCATGAACAATATGATAAGCTTGATTCGGAGTGGTGAAATCTCGGCCAACTTTGTTCATTTTAGAAAACTCCTTGAGGTGCTTTTGTCTTTTCTGGGTACGGACAGCTGGTAGAAGCTTGTTATAGATCTCATGGCGAGGTTCATCCCGGTTCGTCATTCATCAGCTTCTATGCATAACGATCCGCGTGTTTTTGACGTGTTACCGAACTGCTGGTTGCCAACAGTCTGTCTGCTCTAATCTGCTTTGGTCATCAAGACTCGTAAAACGTAGGCTGGTCTCTCGGACTCGTTGTTCGTCTTTACGGATTCGATGCTTTCTTGGATCGACATCATACGTTTTTTGGGTCTTACCAACCGGCGTGCAGTATGTCCTCGAGGAAACCACATTGCATTGTACGCTTTGCCGCCATGGATCTGATCCAGAAACATGTGATCCTGGCAGATCTAGCACACTCCTACCACCATCTTCTGGAAATTGGTACTATTTTCACGTTCATTCATCTGCTTCTGATAGGTCGTATGAATTAGGTCTCTTACCCTCTGATCACCATGAAGTGAGGATGTTGAGAGGGTAGGCGTATCAACTGTTACTCGGGATCCATGTTTTGTTCCAATCCGAGACCAAGTTTGCCTTCGATCCTCTGCCTTCATGTTAGAGATGTGATAATGATCACATATTGAAAACTGAATTGCTTCCAGAAGAATATTATATGATATTTTCATCCAGTACTCATTTCCCATCGTTTTCTCAGGGAGTGTCCGAGTACATTCAATTGAAAACTTAGGCATTTCTGGGTGGAAGCTTTCGTTGCCCTTACAGATTGCATTGTCAAGTGGTGGCGAATTCAAGCTCCTAGACAGCGACGATGAATGGTTTATGTTTTCGTTCCTTTGGGGTTATCAAGGCACTGCCAAGGGATGGCCACGAGTTACACTGTGTTCAGACCCAGTGACACTAGTGTGTGCAGCGAAGTTGACTGGGCTACATGGAAGTTGGCAATGAACAGCGGCTGCTTGCTATGCCTTGCGCCCCACAGGGAGGACGTGTAGGTAAGCGTGATCATGAAATGTTAAAGTTAAAGCGTTTCTATTGACGTCCCAGTGTGACGATTCTGATGTGCGCATTTGGCTGTGCTCTGTATGCGGCGTGGCCATCATGTCAGGCCGAGGGGTGTGGCTTGTGATAACCTGTCCTGTATAACGTCACCCTTGCCAACACTGCACGGCGGAGCTGAGAAAGAATAGGTAAATGTTCTCTGTCTCGCTTCAGTTAACCCATTGAGCTCGGGGAAAGCTGTAGGCTAATCTGTGTAACTGTACATGCATATGTCTGAGTCTTCGTCCATCTGACTAAGCACTATGTGGCTGTTCCCTACCTCCTGTCCCTGGGCCTCCCTACTACAGCGGTTATTATCCTGTCTAGTAACGCTTTGGGGAACTTCGATGGTATAGAGTTTAGCTCCGGCTCTGCCATGACAGCTGACCAAATATTAATATTCCATCGTACCAGTCAACGGATACCCATTTTACCGATTCTTCTGCCAGTATCGCCGTGCAATGCGGAGCTCATACAGGGCCTTTGGCCGCTACGATCGACATGCGCCCAGTAGCACGGTGAACGTTTCATGCTGATTAAAGGGGGGGGGATCGAGGCATCGGAAGGCTGTAACATTAGTTCGTATCACTTGAGCGCGAGTTCCAACCACAAAAAGACACTCGGTAAATTGTCCTCTGCTTCCGTTCCAGTGTCGAGTGAATCAAGGTAAAGTTTAGGAGACTAATGTCCGATCCAACTACATGCCGACATAGCATGCAATGCGGTGCAAGCGAGTACTTCTGTTGGCCCCGCACAGCCCTCATTTGGGAGGTGGAATCAGTCCAAACTAGGATTCGTGGGGAACCCTCTTGTGTCGCCATCACCTGTGTTCATTATATGCTACATACGTGCACGACAAGGGATGGTGCACTACCCGTTGCGTTTCCTGTATCCGTGGCCCTGTCTGCAATGTCGCGGAGGTAATAAACCAACTTCAGGCCTTGATAGGAGCATTCGCGTAGACACTTGTATGAACACCACGGTAAGTAGGGAGCGGATACAAAAACCGTCCATCAGATTCACCGTTCCACAGTCCAGGCTTCTGGCCAAGATACAAGGCGAGTGGAGACACGATCAGCCAGGAAGAGCATAAGGCTGGATCAGAGGGAACTCCTCGTTGCACATATGGCACAAACATGACCTACACCATCCGTCCTGCAGCATTCGGAGCACGAAAGGTGATGCATAGCTTGACTCACCAATCACCCGTTTTGCCAGCCTACGTTCCATATTTCACGGCCAAATCACAACGGGATCGATGATCAGGAATGGCTTTGGCCATTCATTATTCCAAAACACTACGCCAAGGTAGCGCGTCGCTACGTCTGCTCCTACATGAGTTTCAGTGATGTTGTTAAACTCGGAACATATGTGTGCCGGAAGGCAAGCATCGTGTTATGGTTCAAGATGCAGATCTATAAGCTGTTTGTCTCAGGGAAGAGACCCACTCAATGATTCGGAGTGGGGGAATCCGCTGCTCCTCTGCCAATCCGACGGACGATAGGGGAGGACGTAGGAGGGCACACCGTGGTTGCCCCTTTAAAAACGAAGCACTCAATCCACAGGAAGTGCAAAAAGTCACAGAAACGAGTATACCATCCATTCGACGATGTTCTTCCATTACAATCTGCATTCTTACCCTCATGACCCGGAGGCCCCAATTCATTACAACGGTGTCAACCTGCAGGTCACCGGTCACCCTCCTTCACTCTAGTCGTTGGCTCATGCAACGATCCAGGCGTTCATACACGCTTGTGGGCGCTCTGGGGCCCAACCCATCGGCAGGCACAACCTCTGCCAACATTGCGAAAGCTTACGTCGAGAGCGGTCGACGCACGTATGAGCTTCCTGACGCCAGTATTGGTGAACGCGGAAAACGGATGGGAAGGAACGATGGCTTTCCTTCGAATTCTCGACTTCCTTAGCGGTGACTATCTGTAGACGACGAACGGACCAAAATTTGCGTGACATCGATCACCTTTGTTTACTCTAATGGCTTGTGCAGCATGTCTTCCTGTAAACCACGTGTAAGAACGCAATCACATGTGTCCCCCCTTCGTACGACTTGCCCCATGAAAATTTCAGAACGTCTTGTAGACCAATGCGCACTCACATACTTTAGGTACTCCGTATGATCTTATGTGTTTCAGTTGAGATAAAGTAGTTGCGCCGCCTGTGGTAATAGTCGCGCGCTTCGAAGTGTGGTCGTCGGACTTCTCCCGATTTTCAAGCCCAACAAATCCGCATAAGTACCCGAAGAGGAGCTCCTGAAGATCAACCTGCAGTATGCCAGGCTCACTGCCGAAATAGTTGCCAACACCTGGCTCCGACTCGAATCCTGCATTGTCTGAACCTCGTGTCTGCTTCTCAGGGTGTCGCCCCAGACCAACTCATAGCGCTTGAATTGCACGCTGGGCCATCAAGGGTAGTTTGATGTTCCTGCAAAGGCATACTAGTGCTCTGACACGGACTTCGTGTATTTGTTGTCTCTGCCAAATCTCTGCCCGTCAGGCTTCCTGTAAATTACTTGTGCACGTGTAAGAATGTTGTCACGGTTGGAAGGCCCGTGGGCCAGGCCATCACCACCTCCCGCGAACTCGATGCCATTAATAGGGGGTCGATTAGGGTCGATTATTTCACGCTGCTACGCAATGACGTGCCAAAACCATCCATTCATGACATAGTGCTCGCGCAGCTACTCTTCCTGTGTACATAGTACCTCTACCGCTGTAGCATAGCGCCACTCACGCCACCCTGGTGGCGCGATTTGACTTTTGAACCTTTCTGAACGGCCATCACTTCTAACTTCGCTCGCCAGCCAGTCGTACAAACGTAGTGGTGGTGTCTGGAGGCTGTGCAGGACTGCGGACTGGACACTTCAGTATTGTACTTCCAGCACATGTCAAGCTTCACTTCATGACCAAGCCTGGTTCGGGTGTGCAAGCTCGGTCGAATTCCAGAAAATCCGTGGGAGCTCTTCTCTTTACCAAATTACTTTGCTTATAATCCAATCAACTGATATTAGAGCTCGCTATAGATTTCGTGGCACCAGAGACTCGTCTCGGTCTCTGTGAATATCAACTTCCATGCATTTCGGTCCACTTTTACCGAACCACTGGTTGCCGCAAGTCTACTTATCTGCTGTTCATTTGTTTTGGTGTGACTTTCGACATCCTCTCTTGACGGTGGTCAGAGGATAAGAGATCCGACTCATATGATCGATCAGAAGATGGTGGTAGAAGCCTGCTGTATCCACCAGGACCACGCCCCAATTCTGGAGAGTCAACGCATACGTGGGCACAGTGCGGTGTCCTCGAGGACATGCTGCATGGGGTTAGTAGGACATGAAAGAAGTATGACAATGTTCATCTCAACATGTGGTGGCGTACTCACGGTAGTTACTGCATCGCAATCGCGCCACAAAGGAAGGAAAAATTGTTTTCCGATCTCGTGTCGAAAAAAACTGAACTGCTTCCAGGAGAGCATTATATGATACTTATCCTCACACAGTACTCGTTTTTCGTCGTTTCATCAGACGGATGTCTGAGTACCATTCATTTGAAATAGGTATTTCTCGGTGGAAGTACTCCATGTTGCACTGTTAAGTGGTGACGGATTCAAGTTCTCAACCAGGGATGGTAATTGGTTTGTGTGTTATTTCCTTGCTCATCAAAATACTTCCAGAGCTGGCCACGAGTAAGTGTGTCCTGGATTAATTGTGGGTCTCTATTGCAGTGAACAGCGTCTGCTTGCTATTCTCTGCACCTCCCGAAGAACATGTGTAGGTAGGCGGAATCATGAGGCGTCGAAGTTCAAATGTTTTATGCCGAGTGAAACGGTCCTGGTGTGCGCATGTGATTGTGATCCGTACACAGTGGGGCCTCAAGGGTATCGCCAGAGACGCTGGACTTGCTGCCAACCTTCACGCTCCCCTGAGCTAACCACATCGACGACAGATGGCGGGAAGGGAACCATTTCATTTCTAAGTCATTCCTCTGCTTCCCTTCAGTTGACAAGCCGTCCCCAGACCCTGGAGAGAGCACTGCGCGTTTCCCCGAAAGCCCGTTCGTTCAGTGTTCTTGTTTTCATTGCAGCAGTCTGCAGATTCGAAGTTGGCGGTTATTATGCCACAGGAAGTGTGGTTAATCCGTTTGAAAAGCTACTTCCGATTCGATGGTATAGGGTTCAGCAGTTGGGGCTCCACTGTGATAGATGGTCTCACAGCCAGCGGGTACGCAGTTTCGTCGATTACTCTGCCACTGTCACTACCGCCGTACGATCGAAAACGAAGGAGAATATTTGTAAGCACATTCTTAGCTCCGGCCCGGCTGAAGGAAATCTTTTTTCGACATGTCCCTGGAGCTCGCACTGAGCTGTTCTGCTTCCATTGGCGTTGCCAAGTGAGTGAAAGAGAATTTCAGGCGAAAATTGATGCCTGATCCCGGTACATGTCGACGCTACGACTTGAGCTCCATCGCATGTGACTCGGTGTGAGTATTCTTCTAACCGCAATTTACCCTTTTAGTCTCTCTCCACCCTTCTGACACGTGAAGTGCTCCCCACAGCAAGCCTTTGCTCCAACCGGTACACTGCCTGCAGTCGTTATCGCATATTGTGTACAGGCTTGATTCACGCAGGTAGCAAATTTCAGCGAGTTTTTAAACTCCAGGGTGGCGAAGGTAATAAACGAGATTATTCAACAGGGGCCTAGACGAGAGAAGGGATTTCGCGAAACGCCTATGCATCCTTCAATGAACCCTGCGGTACCTAGGAAATGGAAAGTCGTCGATCAAATCCATCGTTCCGCGATGCAGGTTTCTGGTCAAGGTCCAAGGCGAGCGGAGACATAATCTCGGCCATTAAGCACGGGCTTGTGCCATATGTGCAACGGGCCCACTCAGAATCTATACCCCTACTCCTGAAGTTTTCAAGGCACGAAAGGTGGCGCACAGCTTGGCTCACCGTCCACATGTAGTGCCAGTTTATGGTCAACATTTCACGACAAAATCACGAGATCGATGATCAGGAGTGGCAAAACAATGCGCTAGCCTGGTAGCAGGCGACTACATACAGCTGTTCCTCCGTAGGTTTCAACGATGTTGTTAAACTCTTACCCTACGTGCGTCAGATGGCAAGCGTTGTGTTGTGGCCCAAGATGCCGATCTATAAGCTGTTTGCCTCAGGGAAGAAACCCGCTCAATGGCTTGAATTAGCGGAATCTTGCTGCTCCTCGAACAATATGTCCAACGGACCTTGTGGAATGCCTGGAATTCGTGGCTTCCCCTTTAAAAGCGAAGCACTTAATCCACAGGAAGTGTGGAAACGAGTATATCATTCATTGACGACGTTCTACTATCGCAATCTGCACTCTTGCCTTCATGACCTGGAGACGCCGGTACATTACGATGGTGTAAACCCATAGGTCACTGGTCACTCTTCTTCACCCTACTTGTCGTCAGCTCATGTAATGATGCAGGCGATCATACATGCTTGCAGGCGCTCTGGGACCCAACCTGCCTTCAGGCGCAACCTCTACCACGCTGCGGGAGCCCTTGTGGAGAGCAGTCGTCGCATGGATGAACCCCCAAATAAGGACGCGTTATCCGAGTCAGTGATCGACACCTGTATTGGCGAACTTGGGAAACGTTGAGAAGCAACTGCAGGGGTGATGTGATGTGAAGCTACTCCCTGATCATTTCTCTCCTCTCATTATATCCCTCCCTGGTACATAATGGTTTGATGTTTGTAGTACTTAGCCATTTGATTACAATTTGATTTGTTTCTCCAGTCCATGTCACTTTGAAGTAAATCGTGGGCTATTACAGAAGATGTTTTTAGACTGGGGCAGTGAAGTTGTAAGTGGTCTTAACCGAGTGTCACCATTGGGTGTAGACTGCCCCTCGACCACCTCGTTGTTCCATCCGTATTGCTTTGGTGCTCTCAGACGTTCTGCCCAGGAATTCACACCCCAAATCATCCTCTGACACCATTCAAAACCCGGCCAACGTCGACACACAAGAGACTTGTCGGCGTAGCCGAACTAAGGACACCACGCCGGGACAAACGCCCCGTCAATCGAGATAATCCAACCAATTACAGGGCGGTAATTGTCTTCCCGAGGAAGAGGACTCCACCATAGTCATAGTAGTCACCAACGCCGAAAATAAGGTTCCTGATAGCCCTTGGATAATCGAGGCAGTCGATGGCAAGTCTGACTCGATGACGATGACGATGCAAAGCGAGTTTCCCCATGTTGCCACATTTTGTTGCTCATTTCTTGCTTCAGCAACATGTCGAGTTCGAGATAAGTAGTTAGGGTCTTTGACCCTCTAAAATAGGATACCAAAGGCGACAAATCTTTGTGCGGTCCCCGACCCAGCGCTTGCATCACACTCCAACCATGTGCATGCTCCTCCCTCCCCCCTTCTCACCAACCACACCTACGCATCAGTTTCTGAAGCTCGCTGACGGTGCCCCTACCGCACGACTCCACCAATCCGTCCATAATCAGAACAGGAATCTTGCCCACCAATCACGTCCCCGTCTCTTGTCGAGTGTTGCTCATTCTCTCTGCAGAACATGGAGGGTTGATCAGGCATGGACAACGATGCTCATGCTGAAGTTATGCGGAGTGCGGACGGTCTATCCACCACGGCTGCCCGTATCCGTGCAAGCATTGGCAGCCGCATCCGCATGAGCTGCCCTAACACCCATGGAAGCATTGCAGGGAGGGAAATTCTGTCGCAGGGGAAACACAAAGGAAAAATGAGAAAGGAACATGACCGTTCTGGTTCAGTGGTTGTTGGAAGTGACGCTGGCGGTGCGCGCACCTTCGCAGTCACGAGCAACGACGAACAACAAGCTTTGTCAGGTCGTGACAAGACCTCTAAGAAGTCTATCAATGCTCGTCTCAGTTTCACGTCGAACGCGGGTCTGCTTCCTACACAACATACACAAGTACGCCCATGAGTTCTCGCGACTCAGCATCGTTGTCTATTGCTGTAAGTACGGCATCTATCTCGGCTCCCTCTTCCCAGAATTCGCCTGGAACAATACTGCGCACTGACATTGTTGGGGCAAGGCTGCTCGTCTTCGGATTCTGATTCATTGGATGACTTTGAGTCGGGTTCCGACTTGGAGTTTTACTGACACATCTGTGGATTCTTGATGGTGTGCCTGACGCTCACCAACTTCACAGAGGGACTACAGCAAGGGCCATAGTCAGGGCTTGGCTTGCACAGCTACTAGACTTGGCTGTGTGTTCAACATGACGGGGGCTACACACAGGAACGTGATTGCAACTACAGGCGAGACCAATATCACGAGGACTTATGTTTGCCATCTTCCCCTCGTCAATCTCCCTCACCTCGTCGGCACTGATACTCACATGATGGGAAGGCGAGACTCGCCACCCCACCGCCGCCATGATTCACCTCCCCATCGATCGCACATGAATGAGCCAGTGAATGGGAAGGTGGAAGGTCGTGTGCTGATGGGTGCGTCATCCGCTAGAGGTCGGCGGACTACCGAAGAATCTGAGGAAATTGATAAGGGCTTGGCGAACAACTTTACCTTGTAATTATTGGGCGGGAGAGTGGGAGGCAACAACATCGTCGTGGGAGTAATGATATGAACGAGTGCTTAGCACTCGTTACTTCGAATGATCTGTGTACACTCGATCAAGTCGTCAATATTCCTTCTGTAATGTCTGCGCGTCCTTTGAGGAAAGCCGCTCTGCTCTTTTTTTTTGCCTGTTGTCGTGGAATTGGTTGTCGTTAATGGAGTGAGACTTTTGAAGGACTGCCGCTGATGAGCAGGCGAAGTTATGCTGTAGGTGAGCGCTTTCAATGTGGCGACGGGGCGGTAGGCTTATGTGACGTAATATTGTCTGCATACTTCTGCTTCCCCGTCCTCACTCCTTCCCCTAGTTGCCTTGCTTCGTATCCCATCTACCTAGGAATCCAAAATCTCGGAACGAAGATAGCCAGGTCCAGGTCCAGGAGAAACGTATGCAGCTGAGACACATGAACCACTCAGATACGTGCTGTGCACGCTTTGGATGGCCAACTCACTTGGGAGCAAACACAGACAACCCTCCTAACCCATATACATTAGTATCCTTATTACTTGCTAGCTGAACATAACAATAGCCAGCTCTGTGCTCTGAAAGATCAGGTTCGATCTGAGATGACGCGTTTCACTTGCTCCCGCGGCGGTGTTTCCCTCTCGCGGGACATAGTTTGACATTTTGAAATATGTAGGAGCGTGCCGCGCGCAACCCACGACAGGACAGGCCATCCACTCACCGAAATTTGCTGTGATTACCATGTAGTCATGATTGCAAGTCGGACCGGTCTATTTGTGCGCACGCATTTCATTCCACCACCGGCTCCTGTTCCGTCTACTTCTACGGAGTCACCTGGACTTGCTTAGAGTTAAGTTTAAGCTCTGGATATGTATCGCGCACTCTAATTATTATTTTCTGCGTGCTTTCAGAAGCCTCGAAGCGCACTGTTTGGGGCACTTGCCTCCATCTGAGGAGGAAATTCAATTTCCCTCAACTCACTACCGAATGATTTCCGAGTTGGCTTGTGGTCCAATAACGTGGGTACCTAGCTATTATTGATGAATTCTGTACGCAATACGTACAGCTTGATTCCTGCTGTAAGTGTGATCAGATCGATTCCGCAGTGCGGCTTTACCGCGCGGATATCTGGAGTTAGCCTGCTCCTCAGCGGACACGCTGACCGCCAGCTGCTTGCATTTGTCCTGCACAGCGGTCCCATTGTTAGCAAAGCTGTTGAGCATTTCTCATGGAAAATTTCTCATGATTCGGATTTCTAATTCGTTCTCAGTTACTCTATGTTATCGGCTCATCGCAATGGACATTGCAGATGTTTGGTTCACACAGATGATCCAGCCGAAGACAAAGTTCCCCTGTTTTGAGGTCAGGAAGATTCTGGTCAACAGTATAGTAGTTGATAAATGGGTACTAGATCTACATATGTACCTGTGGAGTACCACGTCTTAGCCTGCATTCCTTGCTCTGGCTGATGACTGAAGAACAAAGGCCCCTGACGGAGATAGAGCTTCTTATGAGAACATGGACATGCATGGTTCAAGTAAACACGAGTAGAATGGAAGCTTCGGTTACCTTTATTTTCTGTATACGCCACTCCAGTTCCACATACCACTTTCGTGTGTCATTTTCCGCGAGGTTTCGTCGTTTTCTCTTCACAGATCCGATTGCAAACACGCCAGAAGGCAGGCGTCGCATTGATAATTTGGTAATATGCACATCCGTAGCTCCTGTGAAGAGATATTGCTTACGACTCGATCTCATTGCATGACTCACTGCGCCACGACGCCGTTCGGCCATTCGCAGCAGATCCAACAGGCTTGGCCTGCGTCGCTTGGTAAAGATCCCATTGCACGCACGCACCCTGGGCTTATAAAAAGTGATGTGTTGTCGCTAGAACCATAGCGCATCGACAATGTCCAGCGGAACATACCCAGAGTATTTCCCTGCCGTCCCAGAGGGGCTGGAAATGGCGGCATCAGAAAATTCCACACTCATTCTCTCCCAGAATTTTCCTGTTCAAATGATTTGCCCAAATTGCAAGTCTGCTTACCTATATTTCCAAGGACAAGCATTTTACAATGTCGGTTCACAATGCCAGCACGGCGACGAGGACCCTGTTCACTTCCAGGGCATCAACACGTATGTCATCACTCTTGGCTTCATTCGGCATATACCTCATGCAACGACACAGGCGTTCATACACGCTTGGTGACGCTGTGTGATGCGCGACACCGTAAGTTACTTATCCAGTGCCGTTCCACGTGCATAAAAGCTCTATCGCCAGGTTATAGTGATTGTGATTGCTGGTGTTAGTAACACCTTGGAGGACGAGGCTGCTGAGCTGTAAATGATGTTTGCTGTATGTTTTCTGCACGTTCAACTTTAGTTTCAGAAATATGTACCATACAGTTAAACACTTGCTCTCAAAAGCACGCATAACAGCCGAAGGAGGTTTCGGCGTATCTCCTGGAATCTGGATCCATAATCGCATGAAATCTTCAATTCACAATGTCAGGCAAACAGCCGCGGCCCAGATGCCACGGAGCTATTCACAGAACGGGAATCATCGCCAATGAATCGAGCCCAACAAACGAAGGAGTGACCTTGTGGTGTAACAATAAAGCTTGGAATCACAAAGCTGGCCTGGGCCTACTGCTCACAGCAAGGCAGTTTCGATGGACCAACTTAGGCAGCCAAACCCCCTAATTTAGGTTCCAGATCATAAGCGGAGTTTCAAATGGGAGGCAAACAACGTTGTGGGCGCGGAATGCGCAAAACTGAACCTTACACGATTTTTGTCTCCGACGTGAAACTCCGATGCTGTGGGTGTGTGGACATGCTCGGTCGCGGTTCCATCCCTCTCATCTTTACCCCATGTCCTCCTCAATTTATGGCTGCCGCATCGCACGCCGTTCTCTGATGTACTGTTGCCGCTAGCCCTTGCGCAGGCGTACACTGGCGTCGATTATGAAAAGAAATGCGAGTTCTGTAGTGTCCATCACCTACGATAGACTCCAACTCGACAATGCCAGTCTTATTCATGTGGTCCTCGATCATATTCATACCTTTACGTGACTAAGGCCCAGCTGCAAAGCCGTCACTGAGTACCCAGAAGCAGAAAAAAAACCGTTACCGAGTTCTCATCGCCTGATGTCTCGATGCAAAACCATTCTGTGTCGGATACTTCCAAACTACTATAATCAGCCTATCCCTGATCAACCTGTGCAAGGCTCGCAGTTGGGGCGCCGCCTCACTAAACTATCTTGACACTTGAGGAGCGCGGGTAACCCGTTTTATGTGCGTTGTGCATCAACGTGACACTCCTCGCTGCGGCTCAGTTCGGCATGATCGAGTTGGTTTCGGGGAACATAGCTCTCTGGAAGAGCTCAAAAAGAATGGTACCAAGCATTTATATGACGTATATGTTGGGGTGTCCCGAGAGACAGAATGCAATCTTAACGTTAAAGTCGAAGCCGCTCAATATCATCGTCAAGGAATACGCCGAGGAATACGATCGATTAGACCTCACCTTTGATCGCTACACGAGCGAAAGCGGGCCAGCAGGGAATGACGAGACAAGCAGCACACCTCGACCAGCTGGGATTGATTACTGGCGTGAACGGCGTCAGGTTTTGTCGACCCGGAAAGATGGAAAATAGGGAAATCGATCCTCTGCGAAGCAGGTAATGTACCTCCTATATCCGATTACATTAACTCATGATATGATCGAAGATGGGAAGGTGCATCCCTAGGCGTCGCTGATCGAACCTACGAACAATGCCATTTCGACAAGATGATATGCGGCGTCGCTTCGCGGCAGGATCTTCATCTTGCCCAGTTCTTCGAAATCTTAGATCTGATGGGTTTTCCCGTGGGTCAATCGACCCGAGCACCTGAATTACGGATTGTCGTCGGGTATGAGTACCAAGGAAGGGTACCCCTGTCTTCCTCGATCAGATCATCAAAGAGACGTCATCTGTCATGCACGAGCAAATGAAGCGGAACGAAGAAACGCGCAACGCCTTCGAGGATCCTGAGACAGTCGGCCAATAAGTCGCTATCACAGGCATTAAGATCCAAGACGAGCGGTACGCAGTGTCTACCAATTAATGATCGTCCGCTAACACGCTGTCGGAATAAACACTTATACTCGCAATTGGGACAGGAAGTTATCCTTTCAAGGCGACTCCGGACCTTACTTGCAGTACGCTCACAACTTTTGCCGCTGCCGACCCCAGCCTAGATTGACGCATGCCTGAGATATCGCAGTCCTACTCAGGACCTACTCTAGTGTTGTCGCAACGGCTTTGAAGATGCGGTAGAGTAGTGACATTTTGCCTTCCGCTTGTCCCACACTATCACTGCTGCATAGGAGACCCTCGTGGCCAGGGGCCTGGGCAATGCGAGGGCGAGCTTATGGTTGGAACTCTGCCCGCGGGTGTCAATGGTGCTGCGATGCGATTGTTACTTGTCAGGTGCAAGGCTGTTAGAGAGGATGTGATATTAGATTGGTCTATTGGATCGTCGCACCCGTATGTTCTAGTTATGGTTGCACGGTGTAGATATCCGAGCAAGCAAGGATCTTGATCTTCCACGGACTTTCTCAGAGACATGTTTGGGTATCATCATCCCAACCTCGGAACCTATGCTATATCAGTGACCTCAACCAAAACGTAACATGACTAGACTTACGTGGCTGAGCATATCCACTTCGTGGTTCATTATGAGCTGTAAGATGCTCACCACCTGAGTAGATCCCCGCACACCAGCGATGGCGTTAACGGTGACCTCTTGCTACTTCATGCGTTCTCGGGTCTCCAGCCACATTGCACAGCATGTATGCCTCCTGCCTTTCCAGTTTATGTTCGGGCTTCGCTGATATCTGTCGGTCGATGCAGTAACACTTTCGAAGGCCTGAAAAGAACGGTATGAACCCGAACACTAACCAGAATCAACGCCGATACGCAATAGTATTCCTTTTCTCCAGCATCAGGACTGGTTACTTTAAAGTTGGAATATTTTGCGTAAGGTTTGTCCTTGCGGACTGTAAGTCACGCAGCGACCTTCGCCAACCCTTCGATAGCAGTGCCCACTCTGATGCCTCGTATGAATTAGAGAAGATAGATGGAACCAAGCGTACCGCAATCCTCTATGGAGAACGCTCGTGCATTCAACACTCTTCCGCGGACACGGCTAACGATTAGCATCACTCAACTTACCTCTCCGTCACCTCGTGCAGCATGTCCATCCCAGGGCGGATATCCGCCATAAGCCCAACATCATCCACGACGCCTAAACCACCAGAAGCCAATCTAGTCCCTTACCGCGAAAGAGAAAAGTGCACCTTTCGCCTGGAGGGGTAGATATGGCGTTCGAGCCCCTCACACAAATGCTTCATGTCTATATTTTCACCAGTCATATAAAGTGGAATAGTCGACCACGATCCAGGTGCGCCATGCGCCGCACCCACCTCACCGGCAAACGGGCGAAGGAATAAGCACACGTATACTTTTCTCCTTATCCAGGTACGTATTGCGGAGACTTCACACCGCCATCTCGTTTCCACATCCATCCTTATGCCAAGTACTGGTACTTACCGTGGTGAGGTCCCAGATCTTGAGGATAGCCTCGTAAACTTGTCTGCGAGAAGCCCAGATCCCAGAATGAGTGCGGTCCAACCCCAAGCTCTAATCCTCCCTTCGAGCATGCCGATCTAAAGTGTGTCCCCCTGGGTTTTCTCCTTCAACATACTCAGGCCGATTGACTTGGTAGCATAAGGCGAGAGAACGTCACCATAGTTCACGATGGAATGGTTAGGACCGGTAGGATGCTGCTTGAGGGGAAAGTCCGTAACCAGTACTCCTTCGGGCATATCGATATGGTGAACGAACCTGATGTCCTATGTAAAGCTAGGTGACTAAGTTGTTCGCGTTTACAAATAGGACCGCCGCGGCGTTGCAGCGCATCGGATTAGCACTGAACTCTGTGCTAGCAAGTCTGTATAGCATCTGCGTTGCTACTGAATGGTCTCCACGGGGGTGAGCGCACCTCCACCTTCCATTTCAATCCGAAATCCAATGGCCAAAGCATCTGTGACGTGTAGGGTGCACGATATCGCCACATTGCGGTATGTACAACATTTCAATTTGCTGTAATGTTCTTGATCGACACGAAACTAATCCCCACTGGCACCGGCGCGCATTCGCGTTTCACCAATAGGGCTGTTCTACTAGTCCCGTCTCCTACACGACAGTCGTCTCTAGTCTGATACCTCCCGAAACTCTTCCCTGCCGAAAACATAGGCTTGTTTTAGGTCACGTACCTGGGTCTGTGCTCTAAAAAATCCGCGCACAGGCCAGCGAGATCTTTGTCTTCTCGCCTTCGAGGTATACATCTCCCATTCACGAGCCTTGGTAACCCCCAACATTCAATGACACGGTTTACGATTCTCACGCATTCTTCAATTGGTAAGTGGAGGGAGCAATATTGAATTCGGGAAATCAACCGGGTGCAATCTCCCAATATTCCCGCCGGGCCGAGCCGTAACTCCATCGTGGTCCCCGCAGCCATGGGTCCTTTGCTCCCGGATGGCAAAACTCGCGTCTGCGACCGAACACGGCCATGCGTGGTCTGATGCCATCAGCTACTAGTGCAAACGCTCGATACGCTAAACATTTCCAGTGCACAATTTACAACCGCAAATCCGTCGTATTTGCGCCTCGTAGCCCATGGCGCTGCAACACTGGTGTATTTCCTCCCGTCTTCATGGCACTTCTCCATCCACTATCTTCTTGTCCAGTCTACATCAAGGTAATCTTTCCATCCGTCTTGGCCTCTGAAGTGATTCTTCCGGATCTCAACGTAGAGTCGATGTGACGTGGATATCGCCACATAATCGTTGCGGTTTTGTATTCTGCCATCGACTGCCTTCTCCCATCGACTCGACACTAAGTCCCTGCCACCGATACGTATTCGTGTTCAACTTAACGAGGCTGCTCCGCGAGTTTCATCCCGTGGTCTTTACCCGATACTGCCGAAATTCTAACCGGTTCAATACATACCCACATAACATGCGTGCTTTTTTACTGGGTTCTACGCTATGGAACATCCACGCAACGTCCAATGGCAAGAATGCATTCTCACCTTCGAAGGTGCATAGGAGGCGGTATATGTGCGTAATGCGGGAATTCCCACTTCATCTCCCATCGCTTATAACGGGTATGGATGCTCAAGTCTGGTCACCCGGCACCTGTAATTGCCGCCACGACGAAATGATTCGGGGTTATTTCCTTGTCTCTTCTCGCCACATACGCGCCTTATACTATATGGTATTAATGTTCGGTACGCTAAACACACCTACAGGAACACTAATTGTACTCTGGGCACAACCCGTAAAGTTTAAACCATCGAAGAAGATTTATGTCTACGTAGGGCACTAGCGACGAACATCTCCGATCTCTGTCGGCCGAAAATGGCGTGTAATAATCATTTCAGATATGGCTTTGTTCAGACAGCACTGCATTTCTTCTTCCATCTTCCGCTCTTCGACGCGCTCGAACGTGTACCGATAATGATGAGCGACGCTATCCACAGCTCAAGACTATTGATACATGATGCATGCGTAACCCTGCACTGCTGTTCTACAAGGGTCGATATTCGTAATCGGTACCTCTCGTTCTGTTGGTACGCATTTCGATTCACATTCGTTCAAAACAATGTCAGCCCTGTTGACGAGATCAAGTTCAACCATGTACGTGAGAGAAGTCATCACTGCTAGCTTATGGTTAACCACTTAGCTGTGTTAGGGAGCAACAGTTCCGCTCCAAGATGCGTATGGCCGTCCCACCCCAGGACGCTCGTGAGAACAAGTCACCCTCCGCCACGCCCTCCCCCACACGCCTGCGGTAATCGATTGACGGTCGTTCCCCATACAGTAGTGGTCCCTCAGTGCGATCAGGATCATCAGCCCCTCATCAACACTCGTCTTTATATAAAGTCCGCTAGGGTCATTATCAGTACGATTGACATTCCATTCTTCTTCAATCGACTACCTCACGAGGATCGTGTGCAGAAAATCAGGGTCGACGGAGGTAAGCATTCAGTATTCAATTGTCATACAATTCGTTCACGCGGTTTGTCCAGCACCGCAAGGAGTGCTGCTGCAAGTACGTACGTAAGGGCGAGGATTCTTTCGCGAGTGTGACCTCGGATATGTGTTCCGGCTCTCGTGGCATCACTTTTTGTTGCATAAATGCACTATGGTAAGGTATAAACACAACTGGCACTCCCATCAACCGAACTCATCGCATTGGTCTGCAATCAAGTTTTTTTCATTTAATTGAGATTAGTTGACCAAGCCATACTCCACCCGTCTTCGCCGATTAATCTTCCCTTAGCCTCCGTCAGCATGCAGCACCGATTGGGCCCGGGCAACGAGAGATGGTGATCATGAAGTATTGTCAGATGGGACAAGCTCTTGAGGGCACATGCAAATCCCCTAAGCTTAGCTTCCGGAAGGTGTCGCTGATCAATTCCCGACTGTTTTGTTCGTGCGGATCCCAATGAACAACGGCTTATACATAAGATCTGAAAATCAGAGCGAGAAGGTGAGCGTTCTTCACTGCATGAATGCCATCCGTGTCTCAGTGCGTTATATATTTCACAACGTCAGTATATGCGTTTATGTTCAGACCGCGAAAAAACCTGCTATTTCTCACTTATTTCGTAACCCACTCCGACCCGATAACGCTTCGGTCCCGTCGAATGAGAAAAGTTTCAATATGGTTGGGGGCTTATCATAGCTGTGGTCGGGGAAATGACTGTAAGACTGGTGAATGGGAAACATCCTCATTTAAAGGCTCAATGTTTGATGGCAGAACTGGATCATACGGGAACAACAATCCAGCCAGATTTCCAAAAGGTCCTGGATCAAGTCTACAGTATCGTTCATTCCTTTGGCCCTACTTCCTCCCATCTGCGCATGGGATTCTGGCATAAAATTCATGCTTCCAAGCAACCGGCGAGCTCTCGTTGTAGCTAGTTGCCAATGTTATCTCATACATGTCGGCACCGCAGTGTAGGCAAAAATCTCCCCTCGAATTGCTCGTGTAATGATATTCCGCTCTGTTGCGTTGCGAGTATATTTTATCCCGTTCCCGTTCCAATCCGCCAACTTAGCAATGCCAGGTGCCCGAGTCCCGTCAGCAACAGCAACATCCTCCGAAAAAGTGCATCGCAGATGCGATAATGTCGTGCAACGGTCAGCCGCGGTGACAACTCCTGAAAATATGGAGTTACAAAGTACCGCACGCACTGAACTCTCCAGCAGAAGAAACGCGAACACGGTCAAACGTTACTGGCACTTGGGGGACACCGGGAAACTGACTGTATCATCCAATGCCTCACCCCACCCTTGAGTTGGGAGAGAAGGGCTCCCTCGAGTACTCGTGTAGGAAGTCACCACGGTCATCATATTGCAGTAGGGAACGTTACGAGGTTTTGGGTTGCCATCCGCAGAGTGGAACCGTCATGGGTGCCTCGAGGTTGGCTCAGCCTTGGTTGGGGAGCACGCGCTGGCAAACTCGTTTTTTCAGAATTACGACATCCTTATCAACTGCTCATTTGAACCAACCCACGACTCTGTGGACATCAAGCTATCCACGATGACCCACTCTTCTGATGCATTTTTTCCTTCCAAACGTTTGTTGGCAAATGTCACATCGAATGTTCAATCTAAAAGATCTGGGGAGCAAAAGGTATGTCGACTGATCGAGCGGAGTTGACTGTCACCGCTGACCAGCAACTTGAAGTTCCCAGCAAATGCGGTGAAGAATCGCTGACCCCGCGCCCATCCCCCTGTGTTACTACGATGAACGCGGTCTGTTTGCTAATTCATTCTGGAATGCATGTTGCCGTATTCCTTTCGCGTCTCATCAGTCTCCGTATTTGTCTCTGAGAGGCTGTGTTTCTTAGCCTGTTCTACCAATCCCATGAGGCAGTGCAGTCCTGCCACATCTAGCACACTCCGAACGTGAACTCCCTTCATCCCATTGGTCTGATTCTGATAAACATGGAGAGTCCAATCACTTGCCCTTCTGATCATCATCAAGACGCTGCACGGAGATGATAGCCGTATTCATAGCCGATGTTCCGGTCCACCAGTGATCATCGCTCCCAGACCCGGTGCGCGTTCATCCGGTGGATGGCGTCCAACCACACGTTGAGGACCCAACTTGCTTCAGAATGACATATTACACCCTCACACAGTGCTGGTGACCCGTCGTTTCTTCGGCCCGTATTCGGCTGTTCTTAAGTGCCGGGCGTCATGGAAGCCCTACTATGTCTTAATGACAATACTCCGGGATTCTGATAGGCTCTGTCTTCTTTGGTTGGCCAGGGGTCTGCTGGGTGCATCGCACTTCTAACTCCTGTCGACGCGGCCAATGCTGTTATCGCCGCAATTATGTTCCAGCCGCCGCACTGCATATCTAGTTACCGCCTTCCTGATCCCAGCCAACCTCTCCTCCAGGCACCATTACCTAGAGTTGTCTGGGTTGTCCCCGTTCTCGAGTACCATCCGCTAATCGCCACGAGGATCAATAGCAGCTCACCTTGGCTCTGATGCCATCAGTCCATGACCTTGACGTCCCTTGCAGGTGTCGGCGTATGACGATACAATATTAACGGGACGCAGCGTCGCCTGTCATGCAAATCCATGTTGCGTGGATCTAGTCGTTGGACACAGGCGGTGAAGAGAGGTTGTCGCAATACTCCCGGATCCGCTTTCCTCCCTTTCGCGAGCCTTTCCCTACAGACGCATTTCGACCCTAAGGATTTACTCGCAGATTGACGGTTTCGCTGCACTTGGCAACACTTGTACTCAGTGTGGCCGATGAAATACGCGAGCGCTGTTGTCCTTTCGGTGAAAGGACCCAGCATCGGACCTTCATTTTATCAGGTCTTAGGGCAATTAATCCTTGTGACGTCAAAGTATCGTGTGCACATGGTTCGCGGTTCCCGCAATGAGGATGCATGGCTACGTCTACCAGCCGACGACTCCGCAATCCCATGCCTCATTAATCATTGGCAGTAATTTATAGTCATTTCCGAGCTCTGAAGAAAAGCACCATTCTGTACTGACATCATTTTTAACCGTTCAAACTGCAAGGTTTGAAGTTGGTGAGCATTATGCTATCCGGATCGTAGGTGTAGCTGACATGTTTTTGCAGACCTTCCACGGTAAAGGGCGAAGTCTCCACGCGTGATCCCGAGTATCCAAGTATAATGGTAGTGGTACTCAAATGTTGCCGGCCGATCGAGGCTGGGCTCTGATCATTTCGAGATCTTTCTCTCGCAAGAATATAGCACTAGTTTCATATGGTTTCCCCGCACAGTCGGTGCACCACTCAGAGGGGCTCTCGGTAGCATGCTTGCTTGCCGTGTTTCCACTTGCGGCATCGAGTAAATGAAAAAACACTAGAATTCGAGCGTACGCCAACTGCTTCTCCATGATGGAGAGGCGCGTTCAGGGTGCGCAACTTGTTTCCGTTCAGCTCGTATCTTGGCTTAGAGCACATCGATCAAGTGCGGCGTATGCTTTCCATCCTGCAGTTCATCACGGTGGGGGAATTCTACCGCGGTGTGTCTGTTTCTACAGTCGTTAACGAATGAAATGAAATGGTGGCACTTGAATCGGCCGATCGTTCTCCCCTCTTTCTAGTAGTTGATCCACAATTTCGGGAACAGATGGGGAAGACCATGATGGGGTGGCTTAAGTGACACAACACTTCAATATACTACTTCGAACCGCCATGCAGCTTGAGCGTGTTCCTTGGTGAGCTTCCGTCATTTTGAGCTCTTGCCATGGAATTACAAATGATCAGAAGGCAAGCATCATACTTTTCCTCCGGGAAATTCAGATTCGTTTAGATGAAGTGGCAAAACCTGCTGCTCCTCGACCCACTGACGCAGCACCGCATCCAGTGGACACGTTGGAATACTCGCAACCCCCTTTAAGAACAAGGGACATGAACCGATTGTGCTGCATCATTCGCAATGTCTGACAACACCAATATATCGCCTGCCGACGACAATCAGACGACACCTCCCCCTCATAATGTGAATGGGTCGACGCACATTACCCGCGATAGCCAGTGAGGTACTCGTCTCTTTCTTCTCGTCGTGTGCTCATTCAATGGTGCAGCGGTGTATTTATCCTTGAAGGCACCGAGACTAGTGTGCTATCCGCCGATGACAATCAGTCGACTTTTCCCGATCCCGATTATGAGCTCAACCAGTCGATACATTTTAATGGCACTGACAAGTAGGTTCCCTTCTTTTCTCCGCTCGTCGTGTGCTCATTCAATGATGCAGCGGTGTATTTATCCTTGAAGGCACCGAGACCAATGTACTGCCTGCTGATGACAATCAGTCGACTTTTCCCGATCCCGGCTATGAGCTCAACCAGTCGATGC